ACAAACACAACACACACAGCACTGAACACAAACACAACACACACAGCACTGAACACAAACACAACACACACAGCACTGAACACAAACACAACACACACAGCACTGAGCACAAACACAACACACACAGCACTGAACACAAACACAACACTGAACACAAACACAACACACACAGCACTGAACACAAACACAACACACACAGCACTGAACACAAACACAACACTGAACACAAACACACAGCACTGAACACAAACACAACACTGAACACAAACACAACACACACAGCACTGAACACAAACACAACACTGAACACAAACACAACACACACAACACTGAACACAAACACAACACACACAGCACTGAACACAAACACAACACTGAACACAAACACAACACACACACAGCACTGAACACAAACACACACACACACACAGCACTGAACACAAACACAACACACACAGCACTGAACACAAACACAACACACACAGCACTGAACACAAACACAACACTGAACACAAACACAACACACACAGCACTGAACACAAACACAACACTGAACACAAACACAACACACACAGCACTGAACACAAACACAACACACACAGCACTGAACACAAACACAACACTGAACACAAACACAACACACACAGCACTGAACACAAACACAACACACACAGCACTGAACACAAACACAACACACACAGCACTGAACACAAACACAACACACACAGCACTGAGCACAAACACAACACACACAGCACTGAACACAAACACAACACTGAACACAAACACAACACACACAGCACTGAACACAAACACAACACACACAGCACTGAACACAAACACAACACTGAACACAAACACACAGCACTGAACACAAACACAACACTGAACACAAACACAACACACACAGCACTGAACACAAACACAACACTGAACACAAACACAACACACACAGCACTGAACACAAACACAACACTGAACACAAACACAACACACACAACACTGAACACAAACACAACACACACAGCACTGAACACAAACACAACACTGAACACAAACACAACACACACAGCACTGAACACAAACACAACACTGAACACAAACACAACACACACAGCACTGAACACAAACACAACACACACAGCACTGAACACAAACACAAGACACACAGCACTGAACACAAACACAACACACACAGCACTGAACACAAACACAAACACAACACACACAGCACTGAACACAAACACAAGACACACAGCACTGAACACAAACACAAACACAACACACACAGCACTGAACACAAACACAAGACACACAGCACTGAACACAAACACAACACACACAGCACTGAACACAAACACAACACACACAGCACTGAACACAAACACAAGACACACAGCACTGAACACAAACACAACACACACAGCACTGAAAACAAACACAAACACAACACACACAGCACTGAACACAAACACAAACACAACACACACAGCACTGAACACAAACACAACACACACAGCACTGAACACAAACACAACACACACAGCACTGAACACAAACACAAACACAACACACACAGCACTGAACACAAACACAACACACACAGCACTGAACACAAACACAACACTGAACACAAACACAACACACACAGCACTGAACACAAACACAACACTGAACACAAACACAACACACACAGCACTGAACACAAACACAACACACACAGCACTGAACACAAACACAACACACACAGCACTGAACACAAACACAACACACACAGCACTAAACACAAACACAACACACACAGCACTGAACACAAACACAACACACACAGCACTGAACACAAACACAAACACAACACACACAGCACTGAACACAAACACAAGACACACAGCACTGAACACAAACACAACACACACAGCACTGAACACAAACACAACACACACAGCACTGAACACAAACACAACACACACAGCACTGAACACAAACACAACACACACAGCACTGAACACAAACACACACACACACAGCACTGAACACAAACACAACACTCACCTCTAGATTCGCTCGAGCTTTCTTCAGCACGTCTCGAGTCCGGGACACTGTAAGACAGACGCGTGTGTGAAAGCTCTGATGACATCACTACACCCAAACACAAAACCTCAAACTATTGAAACCAATCGAACGTGATCCGGTTGCCAGCCTGAGCTTTTGACTGGAGAGTGTTCAAAACTATCATAGAGTATAAAGCGCGACAGAAATAAAGGCTTCACATGCTGAGACTCGAGTGTTTTTATGAACGTACTGTTACGCTTTCAGACAGCGCTGTGCAATCTGAGCAACTTCATTTTAGATTTCGGATTCTAGCGATTAAGATAAAACGCTTGTGTCGCATTCTGTTTTGAAATTATTCTCTCGTTTTGTCATTTGTTATAAATCCAGTGCATCTCTCTTTCCTTCACAGCAGTGCGCTTTTGTTCCTCCAAAACTAAATGTCCAAATCAGGGAATGTGATTGTCTAGAAATGCAGTCCACTGTTGCTAAAACTGTGGATGAGAAATAATCACAGAACATGCGTTATTGGCAGATGTTTTCTGATGTTTTCTCTGCAGAAAAGCTAAGTATACTTTGGGGCATCAGTCATCAAATACACACCAAAATATGTCTAAATGCCCAATTTCGTTTCAAGAGAAAATCATTCACTGCTTTTCACTAAACTTTACTTGCTTTAATAAGATCTTTATACATTTCATTCATACAGTAAAGACTATTGCGCTGTTTTATTTCACATTCATGTCTGTGGAAGGGCTTCACTGGCCTGCATACTACTGGTTAGACTGAAAAACCTAAGCACTTTATTTCATTTCTATCTTTGCTCTATTGTTTAAATTTGTCAAATTTGGTTATGAGAATTTGTATCATTATTTCTAGCAAAATATATTTAAATCATGATATGAGTCATTTACTTTTATAATGACAATATATATCATGATCTAAGATTCTGGTCATGTCGTGTTAAATAATAAGAATTGACCAAAAGAATCATGATCACGGTTTTTGCTATAATCGAGCAGCCCTAGTTTCTGATTTGTTAGAGTTTCAGCAACTGGGTAAAAACTGGCGCACCGAACAGGCTGTTGGACTCACGCTGGTTGACGATGAAGGTCTCCATGCTTTCTTTGGTTCTGCTGGTGGAGCGCAAACGTGTGATGGTTCCCTGCAGAACCTCCTCCTGCTGGGCGATCCGCAGACGCAGAAACTGGATCTCCTCGCGCATCGACTGCTCCTGAGAGGAAAGCAGCAGCACCATGAACATATATGTGGCCTTTCATTTTTTAGGAATCAATAAATGTTGAGCAAGTGCTGCAGATGTTCGAACCCTCTGAAGGAGATGGACGGCCCCGTCGCTGCTCGGCAGAGCCGCTCGCCAGAACATCTTCAGCAGGGATACGGCCTCGTCCAGAATCTGGTGCAAGGTCTTGGTGTCCGAGAGCAGCGCCTTCACCGTGCTGTAGTCCAGAGCCTGTGAGAGACACACATGAGATCGGATTCTGACAGCTTGATCTGTCAGCAGGTCTGAGCTTCACCTTCTCCATCAGAGCCGAGTCGAGACTCTCGGTCAGCGCCGCCTCCATCCGCTGGACCAGAACCCGGGCCTCCAGAACCTGCTGCTGCAGAGACCCGTGATCATCCACGTGCCCGACCGCGTGACGCCCGTTACTGTGGGCGAACGACCCGTCCGGAGCCTCTCCTTCCAGGTCCGCATGAGGCTCCAGAGAGTCTGAGGAGAACACAGATTTTATTCTTCTCTTTGACCTATTAAGTACAATTGAACATTAGTCTGGTTCTCAACCAGAAGTACTTCAGCAGGTTCCAGGAGATAGTTGAAAAGTTGATCTATGACCATTGACAGAACTGTTCAAACTTGAACAAGACAAACAAGCTGAAGTTCTCAATAAAGGGAGAAGCCAAGTTTTATTTATGTAGCAGTTAAATTCCACTTTTAATTCCATTCAAAGCTATTTGAAGGGCCTCCTTTTCAGCCACAATGAAAAGTAAGTACAGTGACATCAACATCGCAGCTGCAGTTCACGGATAGCACACACACACACACACTCACACACACCGTTAGTCTCCTCCATCTCCGAGTATGGCGAGTACAGAGGCCCGGCTGGAAACGGACCCACATCTCTGACAGGAGGAGAAGGAGACGGGTCTGTGGAACATGGCAGAGTGGTTAGTACAAAACACACACACACACAAAAACCATCAAGTCCATCACACTCAAAGTTTATTGGCAAAATGGTTCTTTACAAAGATAACAGCAGCTACAAACAGGTTTTTAAAGATAATGCTCAATATTTTCAAGCATGATCTTAGTGTGTAACTGGTTCTACTCAACCCAATCCGAGCGGGATTCGAATCGTGGTCTCCGGGGAGGGAGGCGTGCGCTCTACCGAGGAGGCTAAAGACCACTACCATCAGCGGCTCGAGATCAGGGGAGTGAGGTTTACACTCCTCCTTTTTGGCTTAGGAGAACATCAGACCATTGGCTGCTGATCGATTGCTCCTGTCTGCCTTGCTGCTGGTTTGCGTCTGTAAGCTCCGTATAGCTTTCTGTTTTGAATATCTATTAACTATCATTCCTTGTTGTTTATATTGCTAAATATAACTAACCCATCAACATATATTAGATATAGTCTAATATGGCCCATCACATTAATCCGACATCGCTAGCTTTTATCTAAATCGTTATCGCTAGCACAACACACTAGTATCTTGCTAGCCCGGTAACCTGCCAATCCGTGCTTGCCGTCTTCTTTTCTCTCGTGCGCTCGCGCTTTTTACGAGTCTATCAAACGACTGTGGTGAGTAGGATCAGTCAACAAACACGGTGAGTAATGTCTTCTCCTGTTATTGTCACTTGCACTTTGTGTCACATGTATAGCCTAGTCTTCTCTATCAGTACTGAGGGCTTTACATGTGATAAATGCAGGGAGACAGTCAGGCTGACGGAGAAGATTTCAGAACTAGAGACACGCATCCAAACTTTAATCGAGGATAGTAAGAATGCAAGGGCTTAAGATACTGCTTTCGATACGACTAGCTTAGTGAACTCTGTACATTGTTGGATTCCGGCTGTAGAGCCCGTGCAGGAGGGCAACAGGGCAACTGGGTGACCGTGAGACGCTGTAGTCGCGGGACAAAACACCGCTCTTCCGTTCCTATTACAGCATTAACAGGTTCTCCCCACTCAGTGAAACACCCACTGAGAATCCTGTTGAATGTGCCCTAGTTATTGGCAATTCTATTACACAGAACGTGAAAATAGAGACACCAGCCACCATAGTTGAAATAGAAAGGCATAGAAAAAGGAATTTAAATTTGCTGCTCCTTCTGCCTGGAATAATTTGCAAAGTACGTTGAAACTTAGGGAGATGGTTTCATTGGACATTTTCAAAGTAGTTTTGAACGATTTGGAGAATGAAACATCGGGCTGTAGATGGATTAACTAGTTATGTATTGATATTGAAATTTGATTGGATTTGCTTGTGTGTGTATACGTATGTGTATGTATTGATGGATGTTATCTGTTAAACTCAAGCGAGCTGTGTCTGTCACTCTTGGCCAGGACGCTCTTGTAAAAAAGATTCTTAATCTCAATTTGATTCTTTTCCTGGTAAAATAAAGGTTATAATAGTCACATGTTTGCCGGGAGCCAGAGCGCCTGACATCAAAGCAAATTTAAAAGTGCTGGTTTATGCTAATCGTAAATTCTCTAAGATTATTATTCACGTCGGCACTAATGATGTCCGACTCCGCCAGTCGGAGATCACTAAAATTAACATTAAAGAGGTGTGTGAACTCGCAAGTACGATGTCAGGCACTGTAATTTGCTCTGGCCCCCTTCCTGTTCACAGGAGTGATGAGATAGTTAGTAGACTGTCCTCACTCAATGGCTGGCTGTCTAAAGTGGTGTCCGCAAAATAAAATAGAATTCATAGACAATTGGAAAAATGTTTTTGGGGCAGACCTGACCTGTTGAAAAGAGATGGTATTCATCCCTCCTGGGGGATGGTGCTGCTCTTCTCTGTAGTAATTTTTTTTTTTTTTAATTTTATTTGATCAGGGACAATGCACAAAAACCATTAATCTAAGAAAGAAGAGATGTCATGTGCCAGGTTATAGCAAAAATGCAAATTTCCGCCTGCAGTCCCTGGACAGGTTGATGATATACTTACAAAATTTAAAAAATATGTACAGAATTATAATACACAGAAGCATCACTTCACTCACATCATATAACACTCTCTACTACAGGAATCTATAACTTATTCATTCACAGATTACATCATTCGTATCGCAGTCATTCAGTGCGTACAGGTTTGCTTTGTTAATAACCACTGTTTGGTCAGGCGTGTAAATATGCTATAGTTAGTGCAAGAGATAATTTCATTTGGAAGAGTATTCCAAAGGCTCACTGCTTCATAAGAGAACGATTGTTGACCATATGTGGTTCTGCATCTTGGAACGCTGCACTCTCCTCTAACTGTCGACCGTGTGGTTCTAAAATTTCTCTCCGAATTTAGTGTCACAAATTTTCTTAAGGGAGGAGCAGCGATGTTATGAATAATTTTAAATAGAGAAGAAATTTGATTATATTTAATAAGGTTTTCAAAATTTAAAATGTTATATTTACTTAATACTTTACAATGATGGTAGTAGCGAGACTTTTTATCATGAATTTTTATAGCCCTTTTGTATAATGATTCAAGAAACTTTAGCGATGTTTTACACGCCTGAGACCAACTAGACATGCAATACAAAAAATGTGAAACAATCATAGTATTAAGGAATGTGTTTGAGGCTTCCGTAGTTAATGAATTTCTAATATGTTTATAGTTCATCAAATTAAATATAAATTTATTACTGAGTTTTTTATGTGACTTTTAAAACCAAGGTTTGAGTCAAGTACTAAACCTAAATATTTTGTTTCATTTACATTTTTAATTTTTTGTCCATTTCCTTGAATTCCTTGAGTTTGTTGTATTTTACGTTTATTTGAAAAAAACATTGAGACTGTTTTATCAACGTTTAAGGTCAGGCAGGACATCTGCAACCACTCTGCAACTTTCTGCATCTCTTTTGATAATTTTTCAGCAACCTCCAGCTCGTTTTCCCCAAAAGTGAAGATCACCGTATCATCAGCGTACATAATTACATCAACGTCATATGGCACATAGTCTTAGAGCTCAAACATGATGATCTGGGGCTCAGGTCAGGAAGCAGACAGACTGGCTAAACCGACCGTCTGCCAGCTGTCTCACGTCACTAAGGTCAGATAAATCCCATCATTCTTTCACCTAGATATCATCACATAGAGACTGTGTCTGTTCCCTCAATTAGGAAGTACAAAAAACTCCCAAACCCATTTAAGGGTAAAAAATGTAATTGATGTTCAACAAATAAAAAAAAGATATAATACAAATGAACAAATGATAAAGCTTCGGGTGCTGAATATTCAAACCCTTATTCAAAAGAACTTATTGTTAATGAATGATATGATATAATCTAGATGTGCTGTGTTTGACAGAAACCTGGATAAAACCAGACGATTACATTACTTTAAATGAGTCCACCCCGCAAGATTACAGTTATAAACATGAGCCTCGTCTGAAAGACAAAGGGGGAAGTGTTGCTGTAATTTATAGTAATATCTTAGAATTACTGAGAAGTCTAGTTTCATATATAATTATTTTGAAATGTTGGTGCTTAATGTAACACTATCTAGTGTAAGTGATAAATCCCGTTTGAGATTTGAGCTGGCTACTGTATACCGGCCACCAGGGCACCATACAGACTTTATCAAAGAATTTTATCAAAGAAAGTTATTACTGGCAGCAGATAAAGCCCTAATTGTTGGTGAATTTAATATACATGTACATAACGAAAAAGATGCATTGGGATTGGCATTTAAAAACATTCTGAACTCTATTAGAGTAAGACAACACGTATCAGGACCTACTCATGGTTGTAATCATACTTTAGATCTAATACTGTCACATGGAACAAATGTTTATGCCGTTGAAATTCTGCAGCAGAGTGATGGCATCTCAGATCATTATTTAATCTCATGTATACTTAATTTAGCCAAGGTTGCAAAGCCGACTCTGTGTTATAAATATGTTAGAACTATCACTTCTGCCACTAAAGATTGCCTTACAAATAATCTTCCTGATCAGTTTCATCATCTCAGCATCCCAGATAGCTTAGAAGAACTCGATATTGCAACAGAAATGATTGATTCTCTCTTTTCCAGCACTTTAGACACAGGTGCTCCTTTGCGCTTAAAGAAGATTAAAGAAAATAGTCCAACGCCGTGGTACAACAAGCACACTCAGGCTCTTAAGAGAGCAGCCAGAAAAAATGGAGCGCAACTGGAAGAAAATAAAACTAGAGTTTTTTCACATTACATGGAAAGAGCACAATTGTGTACAGAGAGGACTTAAAAGCTGATAGATCTACTTATTTTGAAACTCTATTAGAAGAAAATAAACAAAACCCTAGGTATTTATTTGAAACAGTGGCTAAATTAACTTGAAATAAAGCTTCAACCCCAGATTCTTCACTTATAAGATTGATACAGTATCAGTATCGCATCAGGCTGTGCATTGTACTCTCCCTGAGGAATAATTCTATTCATTCATTGCTATAGGAGAGGAAGAATTTTCTAAACTCATTAAATCATATAAATCAACAACATGTATGTTAGACCCTATACCGACTAAGCTATTGAAAGAGATCCTTCCAGAGGTCATAGATCCTCTTCCTAATATAATTAATTCATCTTTGTCATTAGGATACGTACAAAAAACGTTTAAACTGGCTATGATTAAACCGCTTGTTAAAAAAATGCAACTTGATCCTACAGAATTTATCAATTACAGGCCGATCTCGAATCTACCTTTTCTGTCAAAGATACTAGAAAAGGCAGTATCTTCACAACTATTTTCCTTTTTAGAAAGAAATGATATCTGTGAGGATTTTCAGTCAGGATTCAGACCGTACCATAGCACTGAGACAGCTCTCATCAGAGTCACAAATGATCTGCTCTTATCATCCGATCGTGGTTGTATCTCGCTATTAGTGTTACTCGATCTTAGTGCTGCATTTGATACTATCGACCACAACATTCTTTTAAAAATACTCGGAAATTATGTTGGCATTAGTGGAATTGCATTAGCATGGTTTAAATCATACTTATCTGACAGTTATCAGTTTATAGCAGTAAATGAAGAGATGTCTTATCGATCACAAGTTCACAAGTATGGCGTACCACAAGGCTCAGTACTAGGACCGCTGCTGTTCACTCTGTACATGCTACCATTAGGAGATATCATTAGGAAGCATGGAATTAGCTTTCACGGTTATGCTGATGATACTCAGCTCCATATTTCTTCACACCCTAACAAAACTTACCAATTCACAAAATTAACGGAATGCATAGCTGATTTAAAAAACTTGATGACTGGTAATTTCCAACTACTTAATTCTGAAAAAACAGAGATTCTAATTATTGGACAAAAAACTTCCTCACAAAATACTAAATAAGAAAAAAACCTAGAATACTGTCTAACACTTGATGGCTGCTCTGTCAAGTCTTCGTCGTCGGTTAGGAACCTCTGTGTGTGTGTGTGTGTGTGTGTGTGTGCTCTTTGATACCAATCTTTCATTTGAAAATCACGTTTCTAGTATCTGTAAAACCGCATTCTTCCTTCTTAAAAATATATCCAAATTACGTCATATGCTCTCACCGACAAATGCGGAACAATTAGTTCATGTGTTCATGACCTCAAGTCTAGATTATTGTAATGCTCTACTGGGTGGTTGCCCTGCACGCTTAATAAACAAACTACAGCTGGTCCAAAACGCCGCAGCTCGAGTTCTTACCAGAACCAGGAAGTATGACCATATTAGCCCGGTTCTGTCAACACTGCATTGGCTCCCTATTAAACATTGTATGCATTTTAAAATATTGCTGATTACTTACAAAGCACTGAATGGTTTAGCTCCCAGTACTTGAGCGAGCTCTTAACGCATTATAGTCCTTCACGTCTATCGCAATCTCAAAATTCCAGTCAGTAGATAATACCTAGAATATCTAAATCGACTGCTGGCGGTAGATCCTTTTCCTATTTAGCACCAAAACTTTGGAACAGTCTTCCTACCATTGTCCGGGAAGCAGACACACTCTGTCAGTTCAAAGCTAGACTAAAAACACATCTCTTTGACCTAGCATACACATAACACACTATAGACTTCTATAATTCAATGTTAGGCTGCATAGATCAGGTCAGCCGGAACCGGGAGCACTTCCCATAAATCCTGATGTACTCGTTACATCATAAGAAGAATGGCGTCTACGCTAATATTAGTCTCTCTGTTTATCCCGAGGTTTACCGCAGTTCGCCGGATCCAGGCCGTATCCAAATCTGATAAAGGACCTGCGCCTGAAAACGACAACAACACAGTTCCAAAGTGTCAACTAGTCTCTCCCCTGTGAAGGCCTCCTTCACTTTACCTCTGTATAGATAAAACATTGTCAAAATAGTTCCGGTTCACATGGCTACTCGGAGCGGCCGGAGCGCGTTAAGGGTTTTCTGTTAGAGCGGTGTCGTGTTAGCGGCCCCTAAGGTAATAACTAATGATCTTTGGAACGGAAGTGTATCAATCAAAACTAACTTTAGCTGGACAATAACTTTATTCTAGAGCTGCTGTAAAGCCTAAACAATCAGTTACTTTAATTTCCTATTTGAAAATCTATATGGTTAAAAGTGCTATATAATTGCAGGTGACTTGACTTGTCTACACACACAGCGACTACTGGTCTACAACAGTTACAAGTGCACATCTCAACAAGTCACATGAGTGTCTGTTTTTCTAGTTGTTAAATTACACAAGCAAGACAGCTGAAGTGAAATGAAGTCGTCCACAGGTTACCGTGGAGAATCAGTCGCCGGTAAAGCACGTCTCTCAGTGGACTGGCCGGAACGATGGGTGACCGGCGCTGATCGGACGAGTGATCCAGCTTCTGGAGTTGAGCCCGAAGAGAACTGTTCTCCTGTACACTGACCTCCAGCTGGACCCTGAGAGCCCGAACCTCCACCAGCAGCTCTCGCAACTCCACTGACGGGCACGGCACCTCACACACACACCCTGAGAGAGAGAGGGGGGAAGCTCTGTCGGTTCATAAATGAATATGCAATTTGAACAGCTGTAAAGTGGCACTCGTTGATAATCTTTCCCTCCACGATTAGCGGATAACTCTAGAAATCACTTGTGCACATGGTTGGAATATAGCACACGTCTCATATGGACTACTTTTATGGCAGTTTTATGATACTTTTGTCATTTCTGGAGTTGGACAGGTCTGCATTTAATTGTATGTAAGAGAGCAGCCTGTCTAAACTGATGTGTTTCACTGAAATATAGGCACTTGTACAGGTTTGCAATAAAATGAGTGTGAATAAACAATTCCAGAAGAGTTTTATTTTTGAGGGTGTGATTATTTAAACATGTACAGAGCTTGTGGGGTCTTACCTGCAGCTGTGCTCTTTCTCGCGCCACACACTCGGTTGTACAGCTGTAGTTCACTCTGTAGGGAGTGTAGAAGCTGTCTGCTCTCTGCTAACTGCTGCTGGAGTAAACTCACCTCGTGCTGCAGTCTGAACACACATCACCAGATACACAGCCTTTCATTCATGTGTATATCTCACACTCATACACAAGAGTTCCAACCACAACGATCCAAAATTGCCAGTCACTCTATTGAAACAACTTTCTTTACATGAAGCTACTCTTCATTTAGTTTCTCTGACCTGTTGTTGTGCTCCTGACTGTTTTGTCTGTCTTGTCGCAGTTGTTGGATTTGTTGGCTTTGCTCACAGTTGTGCGTCTGCAGCCTCCTCAACTCCTCCTTCCATTGCTTCGCCTCTAACTCCGCCTCTAACTCCACCTGCTGCAGGCGAACACGCCCAGACAGCACCGCCTCCCTGAGCTGCTTCACCTCTTCACTGCTGTCTGCATCGTACAAATATCAGATAATCTGTTTTTATTACAGATTTTAAGCTCTACAGAGTCCTACAGACAGTGATAATCATCCCACAACAAAGACTTAATGTGAATTAACGTGTGTGTGTTTTGATGAAATACATACCCAGCTTTAGTATTAAATGCATTATGTGATTCATTATGTGAATTGTTGAACTTGTGTTTAGAAGTGTTGTCCACAAATTATGTCTATGTGCTTTGCAGATTGGTGGACTGGGTGAAAAAAGAGCTATTAACAGTTGTCTTGTCATTTGGGGAAGGCATTTCTTTCTTTTCCATTGTAACGGTGGCTGTTTCAGAGGAACGAGAGTGGGATCCAGATGCAGCAAACATTTATTCAAACAAAAGTAAATCCAGGCAAAACACAGGCAAGGAAGTCAAACAAAACTGACAACAAGCGCACACATTACATCCATAGAAGGACAACACCAGACAAAGTCCGTCACGTCTATCGTCTATTGCGATCTCAAAATTCCGGCCAGTTGATAATACATAGTATTCTTTAACCAATTTATCGTCATATAAAACTGATTGTGCTGGAAGCTCTTTTACTAAATTGTCACCCACATTAGTAAAAAACTCATTGAAACAATTTGCTACCTTTTTCTGATCTGTCATCAATTGACCATTAATTTTAAGACTGATTCTTGAATCATTACTTTTAACCTTTTGCCGATAGCCTAAACCACTTAAGATTCGCCATAGTTTTTTAGAGTCCTGCTTTGCTTCACTAATTTTATTCGTCAGAAAAAAAAAATTGGCCTCTTTAATCTTGCATCTTATCTCATTTCTTTTACGTTTAAATTTGTTATAATTATCATTATTTCCATCTCTTTTGAATGATTTTAAGCTATTGTTGCGTTCCTTGATATCTTTCAAAATACTATCTGTCATCCAGGGTTCTGTTATTTGTTTAATTCTATTTCTTTGCAAGGCGCAACTTTATTCAGAACTTGAACAAATCTTTTTTTAAACCTGTCCCATACTATATCCACATCATCAAACTGCATCACCTCATTCCAATTAGCCTTGCTCAGTTCTTCAACAAAAGTTTGTGGACTATGTCTTTTAAGTGATCTCATTTTTAATGTATTATGATGACTTATGGCCTCTCTCTTTAATTTCCTACATACATATACCGTATTATGATCACTTAATCCATAGGTCGGCAACCCACGGCTCTAGAGCCGCATGCCTAGTGGCTCCCTGGACCTTTTTCAAAAATTTGAAAATGGAAAAAATATTTTTTGTTTTAATATAATTTCTGTAGGAGGAAAAACATGACAAATATTCTTAAAGTTTTTCAACGTTGTAAAAATGTGTATAATAAATATTTAATTTCAACATTTCTGTCAACGAAGAATTTACGTCATAGACTGTGACACACGTGTCTGTCAAATCGGCGTGATGCCAGACCGGTGGCTGACATACAAACAAACAAACCGGCGGGTGTGTCATGGGCCATGGATCCCAAGGGGAAAAAGAGAAAGATTGCTGAGCACTCCCAACGCAATAGAGTGCGGCGCGGGACTAGATTTGATGGCCTAGTGCGAGCGCGGGCGGTAATGCACTCACTCTACTAAAACAAAATAGATACGATTTACAGGCCAGAATTTCTATTCATAACGTGTTTGCAGCGTTGAGCGATATAGCCAATCACATACATATGTGTTGATTTCTTGAACGCAATGGCCAATCAGAAGCATTTAAGATAGACTCCCCTCACGCTCAAAACTGACGTTTTTGTTCAGTGCTGAATTCTGTATGCTGGCAAATCCTCTAATTATAACGAACAACGTGTGGATATTATGAAAGATTCATTGTGCAGTCAGCTTCATTGATAATAACAGAGATGTGTGAGATCGCGATGAACTGTCAGCTTTTTAGGAATTATTAAGAGAGCGCACTTTGCGCGAATTCAGTCATGGCAAACCATGCACGCAGTAAACTGCTTGCTTTTATGTTAAATTTACAGTGGTTTGTGTTTTAATGCTTTAATAACAAATAATTTATCAGGAGGATGTATGGTGGCGACACGTAGGCTAACTTGAAAGTATTTGGAGGTACAGAAAAAAGTCTATTTGCGGGCGGGAGCGGGACAAAACATAAATGTTGCGGGCGGGAGAAAGAAAGTTGAGAACGTCAGTTATAACGACCCACGCATTAAAAAATGATCGGGTTAAAATCGGGCTCGGGCTCATAATTACGTTTAATGTGTCGGGCAGGGCCGGGCTTGATTTTTTGGGCCCGATCTAAGCTCTAATTTGTAGCCCACTTATCATTTTGACACTAATAAAGCTAATATAACACTTACAGCATGTGTTGCCTTCATTATAAGGCTTATATAAAGCTTTTAATTTTTTGCGGGTCCAGACAGATTTTTTTTTTTTTGGGGTCCAATATGGCTCTTTCAACATTTTGGGTTGCCGACCCCTGACTTAATCCAACCTCCAAAACACTTTTAAAGATCCTAGAAATGTCTGAAACCAATATAACATCAATAATTGTACTGCTTTTAGGAGTAATTCTAGTTGGGTCAACGATAATTTGTTTCAATGCATATGATTTACAAAATGAACTGAACTGCTTAAACATTGATGAATCTTTCTTCAACATATCTGTATTTAAATCACCCAAAATAAGCAATTCTTGACCTAAAACATGGCGGTAGATCCTTTTCCTATTTAGCACCAAATCTTTTGAACAATCTTCCTAACATTGTCCGGGAAGCATACACACTCTGTCAGTACAAAGCTAGACTAAAAACACATCTCTTTGACCTAGGTAACAATCCTGATGTACTTGTTACATCATAAGAAGGATGGCGCTTACGTAACTATTAGTCTCTTTGTTTATCCCGAGGTTTACCGCTGTCCGCCGGATCCAGGCCGTATCCGGATCTGATGAAGGACCTGTGCCTGGACACGACGACAACGCAGTACTGAAGTGTCAACTAGTCTCTCCCCTGTGAAGGCCTCCCTCCCTTCCTTTTACCTCTGTACAGATAAAACGTCGTCGGGATAATTCCGGTTCACGTGGCTATGCGGAAGCGATAAAAAATTCTGTGTTATAAATTTTTCAAGGCTTTTGGAACCTATTTCATGGTTTGCGTTCTCGAGCCACCAGGCACTGTTTTGTGTAAATGAGCGGCCGGATCGCATTAAGGGCCAGGAAGGCACCGACAGTTCAGGGGGCCAGGGAGGCACCAACAGTTCAGGGGGCCAGGGAGGCACCAACAGTTCAGGGGGCCAGGGAGGCACCGACAGTTCAGGGGGCCAGGGAGGCACCGACAGTTCAGGGGGCCAGGAAGGCACCGACAGTTCAGGGGGCCAGGGAGGCACCGACAGTTCAGGGGGCCAGGGAGGCACCGACAGTTCAGGGGGCCAGGGAGGCGCCTACAGTTCAGGGGGCCAGGGAGGCACCGACAGTTCAGGGGGCCAGGGAGGCGCCTACAGTTCAGGGGGCCAGGGAGGCACCGACAGTTCAGGGGGCCAGGGAGGCGCCGACAGTTCAAGGGGCCAGGGAGGCGCCGACAGTTCAGGGGGCCAAGGAGGCGCCGACAGTTCAGGGGGCCAGGGAGGCACCGACAGTTCAGGGGGCCAGGGAGGCGCCTACAGTTCAGGGGGCCAGGGAGGCACCGACAGTTCAGGGGGCCAGGGAGGCACCGACAGTTCAGGGGGCCAGGGAGGCACCGACAGTTCAGGGGGCCAGGAAGGCACCGACAGTTCAGGGGGCCAGGGAGGCACCGACAGTTCAGGGGGCCAGGGAGGCGCCTACAGTTCAGGGGGCCAGGGAGGCACCGACAGTTCAGGGGGCCAGGGAGGCGCCGACAGTTCAAGGGGCCAGGGAGGCGCCGACAGTTCAAGGGGCCAAGGAGGCGCAGACAGTTCAGGGGGCCAGGGAGGCACCGACAGTTCAGGGGGCCAGGGAGGCACCGACAGTTCAGGGGGCCAGGGAGGCGCCTACAGTTCAGGGGGCCAGGGAGGCACCGACAGTTCAGGGGGCCAGGGAGGCACCGACAGTTCAGGGGGCCAGGGAGGCACCGACAGTTCAGGGGGCCAGGGAGGCACCAACAGTTCAGGGGGCCAGGGAGGCGCCTACAGTTCAGGGGGCCAGGGAGGCACCGACAGTTCAAGGGGCCAGGGAGGCGCCGACAGTTCAAGGGGCCAGGGAGGCGCCGACAGTTCAAGGGGCCAGGGAGGTGCCGACAGTTCAGGGGGCCAGGGAGGCACCGACAGTTCAAGGGGCCAGGGAGGCGCCAACAGTTCAAGGGGCCAGGGAGGCACCAACAGTTCAGGGGGCCAGGGAGGTGCCTACAGTTCAGGGGGCCAGGGAGGCACCGACAGTTCAGGGGGCCAGGGAGGCACGACAGTTCAAGGGGCCAGGGAGGCGCCGACAGTTCAGACGGCCAGGGAGGCGCCTACAGTTCAGGGGGCCAGGGAGGCGCCTACAGTTCAGGGGGCCAGGGAGGCACCGACAGTTCAAGGGGCCAGGGAGGCGCTGACAGTTCAAGGGGCCAGGGAGGCACCAACAGTTCAGGGGGCCAGGGAGGCGCCTACAGTTCAGGGGGCCAGGGAGGCACCGACAGTTCAGGGGGCCAGGGAGGCACGACAGTTCAAGGGGCCAGGGAGGCGCCGACAGTTCAGACGGCCAGGGAGGCGCCTACAGTTCAGGGGGCCAGGGAGACACCGACAGTTCAGGGGGCCAGGGAGGCGCTGACAGTGAAGACGGCCAGGGAGGCGCCTAGAGTTCAGGGGGCCAGGGAGGCGCCTACAGTTCAGGGGGCCAGGGAGGCGCCTACAGTTCAGGGGGCCAGGGAGGCACCTACAGTTCAGGGGGCCAGGGAGGCGCTAACAGTTCAGGGGGCCAGGTAGGCACCGACAGTTCAAGGGGCCAGGTAGGCACCGACAGTTCAAGGGGCCAGGGAGGCGCCGACAGTTAAGACGGCCAGGGAGGCACCTACAGTTCAGGGGGCCAGGGAGGCGCCTACAGTTCAGGGGGCCAGGGAGGCGCCTACAGTTCAGGGGGCCAGGGAGGCGCCTACAGTTCAGGGGGCCAGGGAGGCACCTACAGTTCAGGGGGCCAGGGAGGCGCCTACAGTTCAGGGGGCCAGGGAGGCGCTAACAGTTCAGGGGGCCAGGGAAGTGCTAACAGTTCAGGGGCCCAGGGAGGAACTTCTTAAATAATCAAAATCAAAAACATGTATGTTAGACCCTTTACCTACTAAGCCACTGAAAGAGATGCTTCCACAGGTCATAGATCCTCTTCTTAAAATTAATAATTCATTAATGTCATTAGGATATGTACCAAAAACTTTTAAGCTGGCTATGATTTTGGCTGCTTAGTTGGGGGGACATTTCATATTCAACAATATTATTGATCTCCCTGCATTGACACCATTATATGAACTGAACTGAGCTTTTGTGTGTGTGTGTGTGTGTGTGTGTGTGTGTGTGTGTGTGTGTGTGTGTGTGTGTGTTTACCTCTGCTGGCTTGTATCCTGGACTGTAGTGCAAGATTTTCCTCCTTTAATGCTCTGATTTCATTGGTTAGTTGACTGACTGTACCATGGCTCTGGATAAAGATGTTGGTAGGAGCCGCTGTCAAACACACACACACAAACACACACACCAGTGATAAGCCATAAGTTTGTTGGTAATGGTTTTTACATCTGTAAACAAGCACACAAATTAGTTAAACACTGTTGTTTTGCATTAAACAGCTCAGGGATATCTGCAGTGAGTCATCAAGACTGAACAGAGATTTATTGGCTGATTGAGAACACTGTGTTGATTGAACTGTTGTATAAAAGCAATGTGACTCTGACAGTCATCGTTATTCTTAATATCAGTCATGTGATGATCTGCTGTCCAATCACAGCAGTGATAATCACATTCAGATCAAAATCATGAATGAAAGTGTCACTCATACTGACTCACTCACTCACTCACACACACACACACACACACACACACACACACACTCACTCACTCACTCACTCACTCACTCACTCACTCACTCACTCACTCACTCACTCACTCACTCACTCACTCACTCACTCACTCACTCACACACACACACACACACACACACACCTGTGTCTCTCGCTGTGGACAGGCGTCCCTGTAACTGCTGTCTCAATCTCTCGTTGGTTCTGATGGAATCTTCCAGTCGTTGGCGCAAAGATCGAATCTCTCTCAGATGCTCCTCGATCACGTCTACACCTGTCAAAATCATCACATCATGATCCTCACATCATAATCATCACATCATAATCATCACATCATCTTTTCTTACTTAGTATTTTTGTCTTGTTTTCAGTCCAAATATAGCCTGACTTCGTCAAACTCATTTTCTAGTCAGAATGTGAGTCTGATACTGCTCCATAGGGCTTTGATTATGAGGCGTGTCTTAATCGAACCAGGAAAAAAACAAACTCTGCACTCAATTGGATAGACCTAACCAATCAGAGCAACGCAGTAAGTGACGTATGTTGAGCGACTCATATCAACAGAACTGAACTGCACTGCACGCACTCTGGAAAAAGTATTTAAAAGAAAAATGAGTGTTAACGACCTTTGCCGGTGTTGCAAAAAGAATTTAAGGATTTGCAGAGTACTTGCAAACTCGAAAAACAGTTTTGAACGAAATAGAAAATGTGAATGTATATACGAACAAGTTCTCCGTTTAGGATTAGATCTCGACAGTAAAGCCAACAAATCTACTCGCATTTGTCTGACCTGTCTCAATTTTATAACAGGGTTGGAGTGCGACTTGATTGATTTTAATAAATGGAGAGACGACGAAAGACACCAGGCTGAAGAAGCGTGTTCATTTGAGTCTTCAGAGAAAAGAGACCGGGAGCCAAAATGACGTTTTAATGATGATTTAAATACAAAATGATGAGTAATTATTGTACTTGTACTTTGTCTTGTTTATTTGTTCTGTCTTGCGTGGTGTTTTGGACATGAGTCTGGCAAATAAACTGAATTGAGTAACATCATCTAATGATTTATTTAAAAAAAATAAACCGCTCATAGGGGGTACAGTGTGTATGGTGTGCGAGTACAGTATAACAAAGCGTCACCATTGTTTGATGTAGCGATGGCTTTGACATGAGTTGCATCGCCCTGATGCCCATTTCGGTTGCTTCTTTTACTCGGTCCTCCATGAGTGCCACCATAGGAGAAACCACAATGACAACAGGCTTTTCATTGCGTCCCATATTCTTAGCGACCATCGGAGCCAGCTGATAAAATAAACTTTTGCCGAATCCTGTAGGAAGGACGGCAAACACATCTTGACGATCGACAAATGCCTTTATTGCAGTTCTCTTTTCGTCTTTTCAAGATGTGTTTTTCCTGGCAATTTGATTGGCCCGAACATTTTTTGACTGATCATAATTACTCCTCAATGGATCGAGTCCAGACCGAACTTCCCGACCAAAAAATGTTGTGGGCGGGGTTCGGGCTGGCATCCAGGCTAGTCCAAATATCTAAAAATTCTTAAATCAAGATGCATTTACTAGATGAGTAAAATGACATAAGATATTACAGTATGTCCTGTTTTTCGGGGGAATGAATCAAAATTAAGTGAGTTGTTGCTTAAAAAAAGCAAAATTATCTGCCAGTGGGGTAAGAAAAATAATGTTAATTCAAACATAAACAAGATTATTAATGTTCATTCAAACATAAACAAGATTATTTTTCTTGCCCCATTGGCAGATAATTTTGCTTGTTTTAAGCAAAAACTCACTTAATTTTAATTTATTTCCTCAGAAAACAAGACGTAATATCTTATGGCATTTTACTACTTTAGTAAATGCATCTTGATTTAGGAAATGTTTGATATTTAGACTGGAAACAAGACAAAAATACTAAGTAAGAAAATATTTTTTTGCAGTCACATCATAATCATCACATCATAATCATGGCAATTTTTATTTCCATGCAATTTTTATAGTCCATGAATTTGTTCTTGTTGTTCATCAGTTTGTTTTTATTTAAACCACTAATTGAGCTGCAATAGTCGCACACACACCTGATTGGCTGTTGCCAGACTGATAATACGATGATCCATTAAAACCTCTGATTGGCTTAATCATATTCTCCATGTCCCACAATGCATCTGTCTGCACAGATGGGCCTCCACTCTTCCCCAGTGCATGATGGGATACAGGCATGTGCACGGCCAGCTGATAGCTGGAGAGAGAGTGTGGCGCGCTGAACGCTGGTGGAGAAAGAGTAATAATCTCATTAACCCTCTGGGGACCAGAAACGCGCCCGCGCGTTTTGCCGTTTTTTTTTCACATAGCAGAAAAATAGACTTAAAATACTCTGTTGATTTTGATCGTACATATAAGTGTTATACATCAATCGATCCTGTTAATTGTCTATTATTTTTCTGTATACTCACAATAAAAACAAAGTTTTGTGCTTTTTGTCAAATAAAGAAAAATAAACATGATGCGAGTTTTGCCTTCTCTCTGTCAGTGCAGTCCATTCTGAAACACGTCCGAAAAATTAACTCTAACTCTGCAAATACTTGTCATACAGGCACGAGAGGTTTTTCTTTATGAAGCTTGAATTCTCTTCTTTTTAATGATGTAATTTATATAAAAAACAAATATTCTCAGTTTATGTAATCTGTATGAAAAGAGAGTGCTGTCAGATTTTTTTTCCCCAGCTCATTACACTTCATTACGCGTTAATCTGACACGCCCACGGAGGACGCGCGCTATTCAAACGCAAATGTCGAGGCAAGCCATGACAATGCCCACATCAGCCGTTCCACCGCGGCGGTAAAATGTGTGGTGTATTTGCTGCCTTTTACCGCCAAGAGGCGCTACAATCATAGACTCTGAAAAGTGTTTGTTTATTCTCTCTAATGCGTAATCTGCTGCCGCACCGCACTGATTCAGAGCGATTGAAAGCTGGTAGCAGATGAATTCAACAAGTGAAACGTAGTTAAAATAATTCATAATCACAATACTGAAATTAGGCTACTGAAATGAAATTGAATAAATAATGAAAAAGTAAAACATTGCAATAAAAACAGTCACAGATGTATAGACGATAGCTCAGTGGTTAACGCAACAACACGAGCTTCGAGGAGCTTCAATCGACTCGGATCGAATCTCAATGTAGCATACATGTTGTTAACCGATGTTGCCCTACAGCGTTTATGTTTAACCTTCTTGATGCTTAAATAGCTAACTGTTTATAACTGTTTACTTATTTAAAGTCAAGAGTTTTGTTTAATTATTATTACAACATAAATTTGCTACATTCCTGGAACCGCAGCCGCTGCACAAAGGACAAAAACTGATGAAGGAAGATTGTCAGCCGATTGCATCAGAAAATGAAAATGAAGAAGCACGTCTTTAGTCTGCTAAATTATTGTGTAATGTAAAAGAACACTAAAATTACTTAAGTTTGAAACCAAGTTCGAACATTTCAAGGTTTAAATAAAGTGTCGGGACAGTTTTTTTTATTTAAAACAGGGTTGCATCGGGTTTAGAGTTTATTTCTTTTGCGATGCAAAATAAGAAACACTAGGCTAATCTTATTCTTGCGACATTTTAAATTTGTATTGCCAAAGAAATGACAGCTATATTAAACAATTAAAACAGTAGGCCTACAAAACGAAAATTGTCCAAAGCAACATAATTAAATTAAAACATGCGTTTTTCTTTGCCTCTCTCGCGCTGAATCTCTTTTTAACAAGTTTATTTAGTCTCCCTCGCTCTCCATATGAAAGAGGAACATTAACACCTATGCCTATTGTCCTGCGCGCTCGATACAGCACTGAACTGTCCCTCCAACCCCCCACCGGCTATTGGAGTCTGAGGCTGATTTAACACAAAGAGAAGTCACAATTCACACTTAAATCGCTATTCTAGACAGTGTTGATAATGAAGGAATTAAATGATTTAAGTTACATGTAGCCTAGTGATATTTCTGTCATAAAAGCTTATTACTAAATATTTAATTATTTCAGTAATTGATGAAATAAAACTGGTTTGGGCCAGCTTTTTCCAAGCAAAACTAAATATAATCTGAAAAAACGCATGTTAATTTGTTTTCATGAACAAAATGTTCAACTCAATATTAAAGTCTACAGGGATCTTTGGATCCTTTCAACCAGGCATGCAATTTGTGAATTAAGTTTTTTTATTTTTATTTTTTATTCAAATAAATATCGAACCACGGTGCTTCGTGGTAATGCTGCTAAATTAAATAACATGTATTGAATAATTATGAACTTAAATGAAACAATATCGCAACATTTCGACAAATGCATTATTTGATCTGTTTTTACATTTTAATTCAGGGCGATTTAGCCTGCTACATTTAATTAGAGCGAGATTTTCACCCTTGTCTTGTCATTTTC